GGGGGGGGGGGGGGGACGCTCGGTAGAGCATGCGCGGCGAAATGAGCAAGACAAGCCTATCGCAGGCAGGACGACGAGAGGGTCTCTGGATGAAGTGGGCCCGTTGAGAGAGGAAACATGGGGGAAAGGGGTGTGACCATCTCGGTGGAGATGGCGTCATTACCGATCGCCGGTCGCTTCCGAATGTCGACGAACGCCGCGATTTAGCTTCTACCGAACATTTTGCACACTCGCATGTTCTTCAGACGAAACTTGTATTCATGCTAACTCACTGGTGATGTCGTAGACCTTGTCCTTGATGATGATCCACGCGCTTTCCCTCGAGTTGTGTTTGGCCACTTCCTGAGAAATGGAAAAGCCGAGCAAGCACCAGCGAACACCTTACCAACCGAAGCACAGAGGTAATGGATCCAGTGGCCCCTACATGAGGCTGCTCCATAAACAGAGCCGATCGCACATGTGAGGCCGGCAAAATCGTGAAACACAGAGTTGGTATACTAACATGTCCAACTGCTTCAAAATTGTGCCTGGTTCCCAGATAACAGAAAAAAAAAAAATGGTGGATCGGTCGATGTTGGACGTATGCGTACGTACCTGCCATGTGAACTTGTTGGTTGCCGCGGGCTCCTCCGCCGAGGTCATTTCCGCCGGAGTCGCGACCGATACCCGGTGCCGGAGGCCATCATCTGAGCAGTACAAACGACATTGTTGTTGTTATTGTTATGTTCAAAAAGTGTTGCTGCTGTCGCTGTTGACGAAGTTGCTGCAGCAGCGGTGAGGCTCTGTCAATTGTTGTGGTTGTCTATGCTGTGGTTGCAGCTGTGATTGCCGCACTAGCACGAACGATTTCGTTGTGGTGTTAGTTTTCCAGCTGTTGCCGTACTTTTTGCACTTAAGCAGTAGTGGTGAAGTGCTACGCTATCAAATGTTCGTTGCTATTTAGTGCTGCTACTGATGTATAATAGTTGCAGCTGTATTTGAATACGTTTTTGTCGCTCTTGCTGTCGTCCTCGTTGTTTGATGTCTCCTCGTAACCGCCGTTTTTCACTGAAGGCTAAAAGTATAGCAGTATCCCGATCGTGACCACTGCTTTCTCCCCCAAGAGGGGAACCGTACCACACCCTCTGTTACATGTGATAGATGAAGAGGAACAAATTTCACAAGGCGTCTGATTGGACGATTATTGCATCGCAAGTTGTGCACTCCGACATCTTTGGGCAGCAGTACTGCTGCTGCTGGAGGCACCAGCAGGCAAATCACATGGAGGCAACACTGCTGTCTCTCGCCGCGCAGGGGCTGGTGTGCGCCGCTGAATAGCATACGTGCAAAAGGAGTGCGCGCAGCAGCTGTCATGGAATGAACCAGCAGCAGCCTCGCTTACGACCTTTGTCGTACATCGATGTAACCCTCGATTTTTCCATTCTCCGATCACCAGCCAATCACATTGACTTCATAAGTTGCGAGAGAAGGAATTGCTGTACCCTTCTCACAATGAAAATATCTCAGGCAGGAACCGCAGGAGGGGGTCCAACCCCCCCTCTCCTATGTGACCCCGGTTGGGTCGTCTGGCTGGTAGAAGTGGAGGATAGGGGCCAGAGGGGCAGACGACAAGAGTCCAATGATGGGAGACCAAAAAAAAAATGACCGATGCATGGACACACCCGTATAAATGTTCAAACATACCTACAGCTAGGCTGTGTTACGGAAAGCTTTGGGTTCCCGAAGGTTGCCCCTAGGGAGAACGTAGAACTTGCACAAGATCCCTCCGACTTCGACCTATCAACCGCCAGACGGGGGGGGTACCGTACCTGGTTGGGGACACACCTCATGTACAAAAATGTATGTGCCGTTGTACCAAGTCTAATCACGGGGCACGTGCACATACGACATGCAGCCTTCCGATTCATTCAAACAGACCCACACAAATGCACCTCATGATGTCGTGTTTATCCGCCGACTAGGGAAATTTGGAAGGAAGGGGGCGTCATCCGCGAATGGACATGGTTGCCCTGGTCCATGACAATGTTTACACTTGGCGGTCAACTCTGTGCATCCCCTCCTGCTGCTAGGAGGAGGCTGCATCACATCGAGCGGGGCGGGGCAGGGATGAAACACGGCTGAAAAAAAGCTTGTGTGCAGAGAGAGAAGCATGGGTTATGCTGCTGATAGACTGCTGACTTGCACAGTTCCGTCACACAAAGCACCGCCGCGCTACGCACTCACCGGCCGATCGGTAATCAGACTCCGGAGGCATTGAACTCTTCCCTTCCTCTCTTTGCGAGCGTCCTTGGCGAGGGTAGCACGGCTCGTCTGGGGTCAGGTTAAGAGACCGACTGTTAGCTTGGTGTGACGCACAGCGGACATGCGGCGGAATCGGCAAATACGACGTCTGACTAGCTGAGTTGACCGACATCCGTCTATCACTACAAAAACCAATACACCTCAGAGAGGATCTGCCTGCTATCAACCGATTCTGGGCGTTGTTATGTATTACAGCACCCCCCCCCTGGATGGCGCGCCAGTGAATGCGGGGGTGCAGCAGGCATTGGCGAAAATTAGGAGCAAATATTTTGGCAAGCCGTAGGGAGCTTTGCAAGCATGGGAAATGTGCTGGACTGCTCGACGGTGAGTGATTGATGCTCGTTATGTTCTTCAAAAAGGAGATGTTCTCGTATATTGCACATTGACAAGGACCTGCAGGGCGCCAAAGAAACCCATCAAGCTATCGGACCCATGCCGTCTCTCTCCCTCCCCCTCTCTCTACGGTGGGTTGGCCAAGTTGTGCGCCGGGTGTCTTCGGCATCGCCGCGTGGGCCCTGATCCTATCCCTTGAACACAGCACGCAATGCACCGCATGACGTTAGATACCACATCCCCTCCGCACGAAGCCTACTCACAACCTCAACTCGGAAGAGCGGCGTTGTCAATTCATGCGGTCACATGGCGCCGAGTGCGATCCCCAAGAGTAAACATCTCTGAGACCTACCATGCTCCCTCTGGCAATCGAGAGCGGAGGAAGGTCGCCCAGATGTGATTGGGGAACGGTACTCTCTCCGCCTCCCCCCTCCTCCCCTCCCCGGGGGAGGCCGAGGCCCGCAAGTGCAGTTAACCCTCGAAAAAACCACCCAACAACGACGGATATACGGTCCCTAGCACCGTGTAGGAGAGGATCCTGAGTTTGGCGGTCGGGAGTTACCGCGGTCACGAGATCGAGGTAGGTCGTGATAAGCCAACTTGGAGACAGCTGCCGATGGGTTTGAACCCAAATGCCCCGGTTTGGACACCGGGGCAAGGCAGCGGTGGAGAGCACGGAGAGGGTGGCGGGATGATCGCACACCGTGTGGGTAAGCACCCAACAGGGGGACGGAAAGGGTCCAGAGCTGGAGAGCCACGCCGCTCCGGGACAGGAAGACACCTCGCTGGGAAAGGCAAGCACCGGGTTAACTCTTACATTAACCC